CCCCCCACCCTACCCTGTGCCCCCCACCTCAGCCCCAGCACCCCCTGACCCCCCTCTGCCTCTTCTGTCCCAGCTGGGTGGTGGATGTGAGCTGGCCATGATGTGTGACATCATCTATGCCGGGGAGAAGGCACAGTTTGGGCAACCTGAAATCCTGCTGGGAACCATCCCAGGTGAGCAGCAGGCACTATCCAGGGGGTTCCATCCCAGCTCCAGGTATACCTTTCTGGATCTTTCTCTTCCCTAAATGCCTCCAGGTGCTGGTGGGACGCAGAGGCTGACCAGGGCGGTGGGGAAGTCACTGGCCATGGAGATGGTACTCACTGGTGACCGGATTTCAGCAGCAGAGGCAAAGGAGGCAGGTAGGGGCATGATCCAGCCCTAGCACTGCAGAGGTCTGGCAGGGAGACATCCCCCCACTTATCACCACCCATCCTAGGTCTGGTCAGCAAGGTGTTCCCTGTGGAGAAGCTGCTGGATGCAGCCATCGCCTGTGCCGAGAAGATCGCCAGCAACTCCAAGCTGGTGGCTGCCATGGCAAAGGAGTCAGTCAACGCTGGTAGGGACTACAGGACAACCAAGAACACCTTGGGGGGTGCAGGGCCAGGCAGAGGGATCTCCCCATCTTGTCTCTTTCTCTCAGCCTATGAGACAACGCTGACAGAAGGGAACAGGACAGAGAAGCGTCTCTTCTACGCTACCTTCGCCACTGTGAGTAGGGGGATTGTCCCCATGGCAGGGGGGATAGCAGGGCTGCTGCAGCTCCCCCAGACCTCACCTCTCCCTCTCCCTCCTCCCAGAGTGACCGCAAGGAGGGGATGACAGCATTCGTGGAGAAGCGCAAGGCAAACTTCACCGACAGCTGAGCCTGCAGAGGTGGAGGTCCCCATGGAGGTGCAGGACCCTGTGGAGGTGCAGGTCCTCGGGGTGGTGCAGGTCCCCACAGCCACCTGCTGCCCATCCACCCCCTGCCTTACCCCACCAAGGGGACCAGGACCTGTTGGCAAGCAGTCCTTGCTTGGGGTGACAGCCAGCCTTGGGGACCACCTCTGCCTTGGCTATTAAAAGGTTTTCTAGGTGCTGTTGGGAGCTGAGGTGTCTTTGCTGTGAGGTCCTTCCTCAGATGGGAGGTGTTGAGGTTCACTGAGACCACCACTCTGTCATGCTGCTTTCCTTGCCAGGCTGGCAAGAGAGAGAGAAATAGGGGTGTGTGTCCCCTGAGGAGGAGACAGCCTGTGGCACCTTCTCAGGCACAACACTGATGTGCTGAGTTTTCCCAGCCTCAGCCTCACCTGGGGCTGGAGTGATGGGCTTAGTCCTCCACCCCAGGGCATCATCTTCACCTTGCTCAGGGTCTTGGGGTAATCATGGGGAGTGTGTTCCCTCAGGTTTGGAGTCCCTGCACTTAGCAACAGGTTTCTGGCAGCAATGAGGAGCCCACCAAGACATGGAGCAGGGAGTGGGTTTATTGGGGTGGGTAGAGAGGTTGGGTAGGGAGGGATGAATCCCCCCAGGAGCAGTTCCCACCCCTCACTTCACAGCCCAGGCACATCTCCACTCAGCTGTGGTAGAGATGGTCACGATCCTCCTCCGGGCCGTTCTGCACCTCCAGGGACAGCATTCGTGGTTGTCTGACGACATCAGCCTCCCTGGCATCATCCTGGGGGTGGTAGAGGTGGTCGCGGTCCTCCTCTGGGCCATTCTGCACCTCCAGGGACATCATCCATGGCAGCCTGAGGGCATCAGCCTCCCTGGCATCATCCTGGGGGTGCTGGAGGTGGTCACGGTCCTCCTCTGGTCCTGCCTGGACTTGGGGCTGGCCCTGCTGAGCCCAGGCACTGCTGGAGAAGACCTTTATACCTGGCACCACCTGTTTAGAGAGTTCACCCTTCTCTGGTGACTCCACAGCTCCTATGCCCAGGATGCTGGAAGAGAGGAGCAACATGAAGAAGGAAAGGTTGCTAAATACCACCCTACCCTGGAGGAATCCCACCCCATCAGGGTGCAGAGACCTGGAGAGATCCCACCACCCCTGGAGGCACTAATGAGGATCTCAGGGAGCATAAAGGCTAATTTAACCCATTATTCCACAAAAAGAGTAGGAAAACCTAGTTGGAGTTGGGGTAATTTAGGGAGGGAGATGGAGCTGGAAGCCCCTTCATTTTGGGATGCACAAAACAGCAAAGGGAGTTTATTCCCCCCTGAAATGCACTCCATTTTGGGAGGCACAAAGCAGCACGCAGAGTTTATTCCCCCCGAAATGCTTTCCATGTTGGGGTGTTGTTTGGTTGGTGTTTACCAGCCAGATATGGGTGCCTAAAGGTGCAGGGAACACGCCCACCTCTTACATTTCATTGTCCAAATCCTGCACTGCCGCCAGGTCCTTCCTCCTGGCGAGGCTCAGAGCCTGCAGCGGGGAGAGAGGGAGGTGATGGGGGTAGCATTGATCACACGCGGTTCTGATCCTCAGTCTGGACAGCAGGAGGGGGAGGGGGAGGGCAGGGGCTCACCTGGGTGCCGCTGGGTGCCAACAGGAGGAGGGCAGCGCCCAGCAGGATGCTGATGCTGCGGATCCGCATTGCCCTAGGGCCGGAAAGGAGATTCCAGGGGAGAAGAAGGGGGCAGAAGCCGCGTGGCTGGTGCCAGCCTGCACCCACAGCTCCTGCCTGTGCCTGCAGTCCCTGCCTGCACCCTGTTCCCGTGCCCACAGCTCCTCCCTGCCCCCAGCACCCACCCTGCCCACCCTTGTGCCCACCCTTGTGCCCACCGGGGCTGGCAGGGACCTACCCGTCCGTGGCTGCTTCACTCCACACTTGCCTTGCACTTTGCCCTCGGCTGGGGGGGGCCCGCCCCCCGGGCGGCCCGACCCCAAA